ATTTCTCTACTTTGCTTATGAGAATGTCATGTGGGAATGTGTCAAAAACCTTACTAAAATCAATATATATCACGTCTTCTGCTTCCCCCTATCCACTAGGCCAGTAACGTTGTCAAAGAAGGAAATTAGGCTGGTTTGGCATGATTTGTTCTTGACAAATCCATGCTGACTATTTCTTATAATCCCATAGTCCTCTAAGTGCTGACAATTTGATTGTTTATTTGTTCCAGTATCTTTCAAGGTACTGATGTTAGGCTGACTGGTCTATAATTCCCTGTGTCCTCTTTGTTCCCCCTTTTAAAGATATGTACTATGTTTATTATTAGTAGTATTTATTTATTTATTTATTTATTATTAGACCAGAACGGTCTGTCATTAGCATTTAGTCTGCCCTTCAGACATCAATGATGTTGACAGTGATGATCATCCTGCTCATTGGCAGGATTTTAGTCTAGAACTAGACCCCTGGACTGGGATTCCAGAGAGTTGGGTTCTGTTCCTGCTTCTGCTCCTGGCCTGCTGGGTGAATTCTGGCAAGTCATTGCTCTTAGCCTCAGTTTCCCCTTCTGTAGAAAGAGGGATGTTAACTCTTACTACCCTTGGTAAAGTGTTTTGAGATCTACTGGTGCAAAACATAGAATGTATATATTATAATAAATAATAGCAACTTTTGCAAGGTGGGGTGTCTTTATCTTAAGACATCTGTAGGGAATGCACACCATGGACAATTTTCACAGATAATTTGTTTTCACTTTTTACTTCCTCCAGATAAATGTGCAGGGGGATTAATGGTGAAGACTTTAGAGATGGGAGAAATTACGAAAGAGAGAGATGAGCAGACAAAACATTCAGAGCTGTACATTTCAGTGGTCTGGTTCCCAAAACCCTGCAAGGAGAGCACTGATATTTTGACTATCAATTTCATACAGCCCTAATTCCATCTGCGGCTGCTTCAGTTGTGTAGCAACACTGCCCCCTAGTGACTAACCACAAAGCTTTATATCTACACAGGAGACATTCCAACAGGGGTTAGGGAAGAGCTGCTTCGGAATGTGTCACAGCTGATGTGATCCGATCAGGAGTTGGGGACATGGACACAGTGAAGAAAAAATTCTTTCTTTCTTTCTTTCTTTCTTTCTTTCTCAGTAAGGACTGGATTTAGTCTCTTATTCAATGGTGATACACTGGGAAATTATATACATTTAATCAACACGATTGCTCTTTCCAGGGGATCTGGTGTGTGTCACCTAATCTCGCTATTTCTCTTTCTGCGGTATCTCGTCTATCTTGTATCTTAAGAAGCTGCCCATTTGCGTTTACCCTCCTCTGTGCATTTTCTTTCCATTTACAGGGAGTTTAGTTGGGGAAATCTCGTTGCTCTGAGTTAATCTGGTCTCACTGCACTGCTCACAATCCGCTTCCCCTTTTTGTACCAGTCGCTGCTTTGCTCTGTGTCACTGTGTGTCTCCTGGCGCAGTAATAGGTGCCGCTGTCTCCGGCTTCCGTGCCTCTCATTTCCAAATACACCTCACTTTTAGAGGTGTCCCTGGAGATGGTCAGCCGGCTTTTGAGGGACTCGTGGTAGCGTTTGTCATCATCCCAGTACACAAGGCACAACCACTCCAGGCCTTTCCCCGGGGGCTGTCGAACCCAGCTCACTGCATTCCCGCTAGATGTGAGAGAGAATCCAGACACGGAGCAGGTGAGTCTCAGGGTCTGTGAGGGCTTCACCTGGGCTGCTCCGGTCTGCAGCAGTTTAACCTGGGAACGGACACCTGCAAAGAGCACGGAGAAATCTCAGTCAGAGAGATGACAGCAGCGCGGTCTGTAGAGAGGAGAGACTGGTCACTCCTAGGTACTTACATGCTGCAATAGCAAAGAGAAGGAAAGACAGGAGTAGAAATTTCATCTTCCCTCTTGGAAGCCAGATAGAAACAGGCACCAAGAACCAGAGGAAATCACACAGGCTTGACTCTTGCGGGGATCGCTGCTGTAATAAAGATTGGGAAGATTCTATTCTTAAAAGGAAGCAAAATCATCATTTGCATACCCCACCCTCTCATGCAAAGCGTTGGTAAATGAGTTCTCCCTGTAATCCTCATATATGAGATGCCTCATAGTCATGTGTGAATGGGTCGTGTCCAGACACTTATTGCGTTATCTCCTAGAAACCCAATGCAAGTGCACAGCTCCGGTGTGCTAGGCACTGCACCGACACATAGTAAGAGACAGTCCCTTGGTAAGGGAGTTCCTCCTTCAGTCACAAATAGATAGATAAAGTCATATCTATCTATCTTTCTATTTATCTATCTATCGCCATCCACCCCCTCTATCTATCTATCTATCTATCTATCTATCTATCT